AAAAAAAAAAAAAATTAGATGCCCTCCAAAATTTATATAAAAACCGGTTGGCCCAATGAATATTTGCTCCAATAGAAACACAAAGAAAAACAATGCATTGTTTGCTCAGAAACCAAGTGACATTATTAATACATTTCTTACTATATTTATGTTGCCACAAAGTTTCGAAGGCAGCTATAGAACTTCCTCCCAACAGCACAATTCCGGCAGTGATCGTGTTCGGGGACTCTGTTGTGGACACCGGCAACAACAACCTCCTAAAAACCGTCGTCAAAGTCAATTACCCTCCATACGGCAAGGATTTCGTCGGAGGAAAGCCGACCGGCAGGTTTTCCGATGGAAAAGTGCCGTCCGACCTCATCGGTACGTATTAGACAAAACTTTGTTGTTCTAAAAAATCACTCTCTATATAATATGAATGAATGCAGAGTTTTTCAAGCTTGTAATGTATCGATTTTTTGTACTTCGTAATCTTATGTGTCAGTGATATCTGGTGATCATTCGTGTAATCATATGTATCGAATTATGATAGTTCACAGTAATCAATAAAGATTTGAATTTTTTTATATATGTCTATTTTGACTTACGATGAAAAAAATAAGCGCATTTATATGATTTTCAATTTGACATCTGTATTGAATAAATAACTAATATAAGTATTCGTATGAATATAGATTAAATAAAAAAGTAATGCAAGTTTTACTGTTTTAAGAAGTATTTCAAATTTTAGAATAATAAAACTTATAATTTATTTGCTTTTTTTTTTTTTAAAAAAAAAGAAAAATTACAAAGTTTTTAATTAACACATGTACCATTACTAGCATCACATTTGAAGTATGATAACGAACTATAGTCGGTTAGGCTAATTGAGGAAATATTTATTGCTATGTTAAAAGTATTTGGTTTGTGTCTAATTTATTTTCATTAATAATTTTTAGTTGAGGAGCTCGGAATTAAAGACCTCTTGCCGGCGTATCTTGATCCGGCGTTGAGAGATGAAGATTTGTTGACCGGCGTTACCTTCGCCTCCGGCGGTTCAGGCTATGACCCCCTGACTTCCAATTTATTGGTATATTTAGACCTTGCTTAATAATTACAAGAAAATAGTTACTACTATATTAAAGTTTGGGGAGATTCTACAGTTCCGTTACGGAACCATTCTGTCGAGATTTGTAACCGTTAGATCAACTATTTCTGACGGTTACAAATCTTGACGAAATGGTTCCGTGAAGGAACTGTAGCATTTTCCGTTAGTTTGGATAATTTTGGATAATTACAATTTACAATGAAAGCATTAATTTTGGATACTTAGGCCAAAGCTTTTATTCAGAGCCTAACTGAGTTTCCGAAAATTAACATATGCAGTCAGTATTGTCGTTATCAGACCAGCTAGAGATGTTCAAAGATTACATAACAAAGTTGGACAAATTGGTTGGACCCGAAAGGACGTCTAAGGTATTGAGCCAAAGTCTAGTCTTGGTGGTTACGGGCAGCAACGACGTCACCAACACGTATTTCAGCTCCCCTCTTAGAAAATCCGAATACGACATCTCTTCGTATGTCGATCTACTTGTTGGCTACGCTTCCGATTTCGTGCAGGTAAAATCTAGCTAACAGTCATCTGAGAGACATGGTGTATAGCTAGAAATGTAGGTATTAGTTATATATCGATTAGATTTGTTACCAGTTCGTCTAACAGTATTGTACATTTTTTAACAAATAATGTTACGATCCTTTAAAAACATATTGTACAATGAACCAACTATTTAACACATTACTAAAAAACAGTTATCATTTTATGTTCAAATTGTTTGATTTCTCTTATATTGTGCCACAAAGGACTTGTACAAGTTGGGGGCACGCCGTATAGGTGTCTTCGGGTTACCACCGCTCGGGTGCTTGCCATCACAACGGACGCTAAAAGGAGGAGTCGAGAGGAAATGCATCGATTCATACAATCAAATATCCGAAATGTTCAATAATAAGCTTTCGGCCGAGATGGACTCCATCAACGGCCGGTTCCCGACGGCAAGAATCTCATACATTGATATTTATAAGCTACCCCTTGATGTCATTCATAACCCGCAAGAATACGGTATGCCTTACTTTAAGCTAATATTTGTCTCTTATTTTGTTGGTCTCTTCTCTACCTACAACACCCCTTCAACTTGATTTTTGTTTTATCTTATTTGTAGGTTTTGAAATTTCAGATAAAGGGTGTTGTGGAACGGGGACATTAGAAGTAGCATTTCTGTGCAAATATACATGTCCGAATGTGAATGAATACGTTTTCTGGGACAGTTTTCATCTCACAGAAAAAGCGTACAGACTTCTTGTACATCAAATTCTCGAACACTCAATCAAGATTTTCATCACATGAAATATATGTGTATAAAAACACACACATACACACACATGTTAATATCGTCTCACTCGTATGCTACCTTACATCAGATTCATAGTCAAATTAAACACCGCATAAGGTACAGAAATACCATGAAATTAATGATCAAATACGAAATATTATTCCTTAGCATGAGTAACTTCCAATATTTTTGATGTTTTAGAGCATTTTCTTCCTTTTTTTTTTAAATTCAAAATTTAGTTTCGACATGAAAATAAAGATATATGTTCAAAATCATATTAATAAAGACCATCGACCCATCGAGCCAATGACCAATGGGCCGAGCTCAATGGTCATGGCTAGTAGTACTCTCTAAAATAAAGTATAGTTACTATTTGGATATGAGATTTATCGGTTTTGCTATAAATCAACAATTGACTACTTGCCTCCATAGTAGAATCAATTTTTTATATACAACAAGTAAACCATACTATATTAATAAAATTATATTAGTGTTATTTAAGTAATCAGAGAATATAATATGTTTATTTGTTGTATATAGAAAGGTTGACTCCACTATAAAGCCAACTGATAGTTTGAGATTTATATATGCTTCCTTCTGGCTCCAACAACTTTCCAAAGCAGCCGGCATCCGTGAAAGAACAAACCTTTGACCAGCTACCACCACACCATTCTCTTTTTCCAATTTTCATCCAACATTTGAGTTAAACAAACAACTACACGAGGTATTTATTCCCTTTTCTTTGCTCAATTCAAGGCCTTATCCATGTCCCACTTCCCGGAATCTTCCTCAAGCTCATGCATCAAAGAAAATGAAAAAAAAAAAAAAAAAAA